CGTAGCCCTGTCCACCTGTCACTCACAAATCACACAACATGTGCCACGTGTTATGAGGCCCAGTGTGAACTGGTATTGAGCGCGTATGCACACACACAACCGTCTGTAAGGACAATATTCAGCGGTCCCTCGATTTGCGATGCTATCGATTAACCATGTTTTGATTAACGACCGGCCTGCCACAGGGTCCCATTGTTTCTATTAACGATAGATGTTCGATTAACGATGTGTTTATATTAACACGCGGCCGCCAATTTCGGCCAATCGCAGCGATCCTAAGTGGACTCAGCAGCAGACTTCAGCCAATCAGCGACGCCCTTTCATGAGTGTTTATTTTCTGCTCTATATATGCAACTTTTTATGCTCTATGTATTAATTACTTATCCATGCTTCTATTAATATAAATGTTTTAACATGTTCTTATAACGTTTATTTAAAAACAATTTGCGTGTTTAAATATTAGAAATTATGTTTTTTATGGTCAAAAGGGTCAACTTCCCATCGTTTTGGAACACATTAAACCTTTAACGTGTGTTTCCTAAATTCGATAAACGATCACTTAAATTAACGATGGGTTTCGTGGAACAAATTAATATATCGTTAACCCGAGGGACAACGAGTAGTTTGGCGTGTGTGCTTTGTCGTCATGTGTCCTGCACCATATCGTGGCGCCAGAACTCCCATCGACTGGTAAGACCATCATCACCTTTGCTATCTGATCGATGCGTTGTTTTTTTTAAAAATCTCTTTCTCTCTTCAGGCACAAAACCCACGTTGAGAAACACACACATATGTACAGTGCTGTACTCACTCACCCACCTGTAGATTGGTCGTCGGGGTCAGTTTTAAAGAGCCCCCTCGGGAAAGAAAACACATTCCAATGAGGGGTCGGCCAGGAGACAGTTGGGAGCTTCGATTAGCACGCTTGGCTGCTACGTACGGTGCGATAGAAGTTCAACACACGTACGTACGTACTCTGGTGTAGCTGCCAGCAGCTCACTGGACTTGCAAGCCCGAAGTCGACCTGGGATCGGATTCCATGTCCCGGCGCGGTGTTGTAAACAATCGGAAAGTTTCCTTAAATCCCCCGCACGCACCTACCGCCCCCTGCCCGAAGGGGGTTAGTGGAGAGTCGGGGAGAGTTCCAGGAAGGATGGGGAAGAGGATAAAAGTAGTGGGGAGAAGGGATCCTGGGGTCTGGAATGGAGTGATTCATCTCCTGATAGTGTTACGCACTTTGCTGGAGACGGAATGAAGGTCCGAGTCCAAGACTCACCCGGGCTGGAACCCCTTTGACACTCCTTTACACTCGTAAAATCAATTCCACATTCCTATGGAGAGAACTTCAAACGTAGGCAGCTTTAATGTGGACAAACTTTGGTTTCCCGCCCACCTACTCATCTCGGAGAGAGGCTGATATATCATGAATGATGATTGAGGATTCATAATGGCAATGGTGATTGATGACTGATGATGATTAATTATGATTTGATGATTATTGATGACGATTAGGATTGATGATTATGGTGATTATGATGTGTTTATTGATTATTGATGATGACTAATTATGATTTTTTTAAATTAATGATTTAATATTAGGAATATTATTGAGGATCGATTATTATGATTGTTGTTAAGTTAGGATTGAAGATGACGTATGATCGCTGCTGCTGATGATGATGATTACTGTTGATGTGGCTGATTTAAACCCTGGCTGGAATATAAAATAATGATATCATGATGCGCTGCCCGATCTAAGTCTATTCATGGAATTTATTAAACTTACCAAAATTAAAACCACGTTCTGAGCAGAAGGCATTTTCAGTACTGCACTTAAAATAGCAAGTCGCCAATACACAATGCATATCGCAATTAGCTGATGTAGCAAGATACGCTAAGTGTGATTGTTACGTAGAGAGGCGTGTGGGTTATGAATACAATAATTTTTGTGCAGATATCCATGAGAGTGTGTCGATCGGCAAGTCCTGTGCGGCGGGGTAAACTGTGGGTACTTACACATTCATATCTCTCCAAAGATGCCTGGCCAGCGTGGAAGAGTAGGCCAAATACCCTCTATTATACGAGCTCGTCTGAGTTCCATCTAGTGGAGACCCTTTTTCCAGTAGTGGTGTGAGCGGGCAATTGCAGGGCTGCGCCTTTAACCCATTTAAATGTGGAGGGACGGATGGATGAATGAGACATTGTCTGCTTCTCGATTTTGTTATTTATATTCTCCACAATGACGCGCGTGGTTATTTCGTGTTATCATTTAAAGGCAGAAAGGGAATCCCATTATAGGTCTATCTATATGTATAAAAAACACGTTTTTGTAATAGCAATATTAAGATATTTCTGCCCATATATTGTACTAACAATGCATAACCCCTTCATCAATCCACTGCTGGATGAAGGCCTCCCTTCCGTGGGTGTGTCAGCGCTGATTGACCATACTGGCCAGTGCGCGTTGGCAAGGCTTAATTGTATCCGCGTCTGCGAAGTGGATAAGATTTCCATGTCTCGGCACACCGCATCCAGTATGCAATCCCGCTGTGGATGTGGCTACTAGTCGTCACGTGCTACTTGCTCCAGCCTACCCAGCGAGCCGGAAAACGTGCATTGAAAAATTAAGCCCCCGCACAAGAGAGCGCTTGGTTGACAAGTCCCAGTGTGAGATGTAAAATTGCGCCTTATCTTCAAAGAGTTAGAGACGCAAAGGGTGTTTAAGAGAATGCTAATGGTTAACCCTGGCGGAGCGGTGGCGCAGAGGTTAGCGCGCCTGAGATATCAACCCAGCGGCCTGAGCACCTATTCGCCCCTGAACACGATAAACATGAGTGGCGATTCATATCAGAACGAGTGCTGGACCTGCTGCTCCTCCTCCTTCTCCTCCTCCTCACCCTCTTCCCCAACCCGCATGGGTGAAGTACGTGCAAACAACTCCCATTACCCACAATTGTGGTGTAGTGGAGGTGGTGGGGGTGAGGCACCTCATCCAGCAGTGGATTGAACACGGGCTGTAAATGTTTAAGCCCCCCCCCATCCCCAACCTCTCCCAAAGATGCCGGCTGTTAGTAATATTTTTATTTTAATGTTTGATATATCGCTTTATCTTGTGTTCTAAGCGCCTCCCCCACCCCCCCCCCCCCCGAGTCTCTCCACACACCCCCACCCCCGTCTTCTCTTACCCAGTGGCCCAGCCCTGCCTGGATCCACCCTGACCCTCCCTCCCCATCCATCCGCATCCCTCCCTCCTCCCCCTGTCACCATCTCATTTCTCTGCACAACGCGCATTTCGCTCGCCACGAGATGTCTTTTTTTAATAGCGAAAATGTTCACCCTCGCCTCGTCAGCTACGTGTCCTCTTTGCCATACAAAGATACTGCCATGTACACAGAATGTGTACTTCACCCACAAGTATGTTATGTATGTTTTAGACCAACACACAAATTGATTACCATTTTTTTTTATTGGGCCACCACCCGGTTCCAAAGCGTAAATAATAATTAACAGCTCAACACATGTGTCAATAACACTCTGGCCTTAAAAAAGTAATAAAAAAACAAGCACTTATAAGCGACGTGTCGGGAAATGGCCCTTGTTCACAGCACAAACGTGAACACAAAAATTTAAGATTCAAAGCCCAAGAAATGAAAAAAATTGCACAAACATTATACTCTGAAGGACTCCGCCTCCCCACTGAAATAAGGAATAAAACAACCATACACACGCATGGAAGCCGTCCGATTGCTGCCACGACAAAATGCGCTTTGCAAATAGTTCTTTTGTTTGCTCGAGTTTGTGTGTCCACGCTCTGGGAAAGCCCTCTGCTCAATTTGACCGGTTTTCAGCCGCGTTCGCCCCGTTCACAGCAACACGACTTTATGAACATCGGTCCCTCTTTACGAGAGTAGGATGCCTCCCCTCCCCGCGGGCCCCCCGTATAGCCAGACGGGCAGAGCTAATATATAAACCTGAGTTGGAAAGCGTTCAGAAGTCTTTGGACTCTTGGAGTGATCAAAAAGTTGCACAAGCCTTTTTTTCTTTTAAGGGGGGGGGGGGGGTTACGTGATAAATAAACAATTAAAATCCATACACCAGAGATTACGGGGAAATAAAACAAAACTTCACAATATTTTCCAAGAATTTGTTTCAACATGTTTAAACACTTAATAAATAAATAAACGCGGCTACGCACTGCACAAAATAATAACCGAAAACCGTGAGCGCTTTGTGTTTAAGGGAGAGAGAGAGCGAGCGAGCGGTGGCGCAACTGGTTAGCGGCGCACAGCGCTATACGAATCCGACCAGCTGAGTTCGATTCACGGCCACGGCTAACATCAGTAGCCAATGATATGTAGATATCTGATTCAGTCCTGACCCCCCCCCCCCCAAACACAAGTCGACACAGCCTTAAATGAGTGCCTGGAGCGTTGTGTGTAATGTAATCACCATCAGCACTGGGGAGACAAAGGCGGCCGGGCGTGGTGCAGGGGCACTACACCACTGTCTAAAAAAATACTAAACTGTCTGTGTAAGCGTACGGTGGGGTATGGGTTGGCGGTGGAGGCGGGGAGCCCGGGGTCTGTTTTGTCTTTTGTATATATAATGAAAAAAACGGTCCTACACGCCCTTGTACAGCCGCCTCTGTTTGGTTAAGCCAAAGCAATCCTGGCAAAGGATCAACTATTTTGAAACATAAACAAGTTATTGCGTGCTGCGCTATATTCAACGCGCTCCCATCTATTGATGTGCAATTTTATAGCGAGACAATGGAAGGCTTTTTAATGGCAAGGGCTGACCCATTCGAACGCAGGGGTGGGTTGGTTGGCGTGTTTGTGCTTTGGTGGCTGAGTGGGTGGGGGTACACCAGCCGGGCTGGGACAGGCTGGGTTGGGGGGGTGATGGGGTGGGGTGGGGTAGGTAGGGGGGGTTTGTCTGATGATAATAAAAATAAAAAATAAAAAACACACTTATTCTTTGAGCGCAGCTACACAGCCAGTCGAAGTTGCTGGGCCCTCCGGCTCGCTCCGTCATTTTCGCGCTGCGAAAACTGCGTGCTCCACTTTTGGTGTCGAGTGAGCGAGTGTTGCGAGTTGACTGATCTTGTCTCATCCGTGAAGGGACCAACCAACCCCCCCCTTACCCCTCCCCCCTCCATCATCAACATCATCCCCCCCACCACCACCAACCCCATCACCCTCACCCCCCCCACGACGTCCCACAAACTCGGAATGCACCGCATTACGAGTTAATCATGCGGGAATTCTTCATTATTCATTTGAACATAATCTTTTACAAACGATATTTCGCATGGAGAAGTAGGCGTCAGCTACTCGCTCAAGGTAAGCAGTCGCGCACTCTGCCTCTCCGGTGCGTACGCGGAGACACACGTGCACGCGCACGCACACGCGCGCGTACTCACCACGTCAACGTGTACACGCTCCGTGTTGCGGGCGCGCGCGGATTCCCCGTCTTACACGCGCGCGCGCGCGTGCTTGTGCATTCGCGTGTACACACAAGCGCACACTCACGCCGTCTCGTGTACATGTCCATCGCGCGAGTGTGCACAGATTCTACCACGCGCGCGCGCACACGTGTGTACACGCGCACACCACATCGTGTACACACGTCGATCACACACACACACAAGCACGATTGTCTGTTACGCACACACGTGTACACACACACACGTGTACACACGCGCACACCACATCGTGTATTCGTCCATCGCGCACACACACGTGTGAAATGCACACGCACTTATATAAAGTTTCATCCGTTTCGTAGCGATTTAAGGCTTCCTTAAGCGATCGCTTTAGGCTCGCCAACTCGCTATGTTGTACGATGGTGACGACGCTGCTACGCGTGTGTTCCATCGTACGGTGCTCAGTCACGGGCTATGATCAACACACGCGTAAAGCACACACAGCATATCGTCATCATCGGTCATGATCAATCCGCTGCTGGACGACGGCATCCTTCCACGCCGTCACAGTCTCTTACTATCCGTCCGTTGTGATCATTATAATCATCATCAACATCATCATCACCATCATCCATCTGGCAGCAGGCACACACAAGCTGATTTAATCGCTCCGTCTCCTCGGTGGGACGTCAGAGCCATGTCGGTCGCGTTCCCAATTCCCCCGTGCGTTCAATGATAATCACATCAGATTGCCGCTGTACGTGTTACATAAAGCGCACGCAGTCTACACAATACTGTACCACGGTTGCGAGTCATTGTTTTCATTGTATCTGGTGCTGCTGCGAAGGGCAGCCGCGCACAAACACAATAAACACAACACAGTCGTTAACAGAAACAACACTGTGGCTTTGCAAGAACAAAACATGTTTAATGGGCGACGTTTCGGGGGCAATGTTCGTTCGTCGTGGGGAAGGAGTCGTCGTTACCCTATTTAGTAGATGCCGTCTTGTGTACGCGTTAAAGAACGCCCTGGTACGGTACAACACAGCGGGCGCCGATTGCAGAACGTAAGATGTCAGTGCGTGTTGGTTATAGGCGTTCGGATGGCTGCGTTTAGTTTCGGCTGCATAAAATGCATCTTATCTCTGCATTGTTACAATCCATACGTCACTTGGAAAACCGCGCAGTTTAGCAGTGAGGGGGGAGAGGAGCGGACACTCGGTGCGTTAAGGGGCCAATGTCCTATCACGGGAGGGGTGGAGGGTTCGTTGGGTAGCCTTCTTGAATTTAACGCAATCTTTAACAATGTGCAAGATGACAAAACAAAAATAACCCGTTAGTGCTAGACAGACGCGATGCGGTAAAGTACTGTATATTCTTACAACGGAGAGATAGCGAGGATATTCATCCACCATTGGATTAATCGCCGCTGATGATTACGTGATTAAGCATCGCAACACCTATTCGTGCGTGCGCTACCAATGCACAACACCACTGCAGTCGATACGTTACAGTACCCGTGGCATTGTAGCTACCGCACTGCACGTCCGTAACACATTGTCAACCACGTGCGCATTGCACTCTTCATCATCAGCACATCGCCAGCATCATCATCGTCACCATCAGCCATGATCACTCCACCCAAGTCTTCCCCGAAAGGCGTCGCCATCTCTTCGCGCTCCGTGCGTTGTCGACAACCCACGTGTCAGAGACCCTGCTGCAGCACAAGCCCATTCCATCGCTCCATCTCCATCGCTGCCTAACCCGGGCAACCCCCCTCCTTCTCCCCCATCCATTAACGTGGGCGACGAACGCGGCACGGGCTCGGGGCTGAGTGAGTGAGTGAGCGGGAGGGGCTGAGTGAGTGAGTGAGCGGGAGGGGCTGAGTGAGTGAGTGATCACTGTTATAGAGCAGCGCAGCCGTGCTTGCCTGGCCGGGTTTCGGTGGGGTCGCTGAATCAGGGGGGGGGGGGTGCGACCCACGCCGGTGTGTCGCCAGGGTGCCTTTAAGGTGCGCTTGGAGCGGGAGGAGGACGGGGGGGGGGCTGTGTGGTTCTGGTGGGGGTGGTGGGGGGAGCGGGGGGGGGGTATGTTTAGTCATTGCACCCAGTTAATCCCAAGGGCATCCTGTGCACTTACACGTAAAGCGCACCGCATTTATTCCTGAATGGAGGCGTCCGTGAGCGACGCTGTCCCTTTAAATATAACCGGTGGGGGGGGGGGGGGCATGCTTCCGAGTGTAACACGCGCACGTGTTTGTGTGTGTATGTTTAAATGTTATATACAGTGTCGTATATATTTGCTTCTGTGTGTGTGTGTCAGCTGTGAATCCCGCAACACAAAGTTCGGTTCGCGGCCACGTTCGCGCCGCCGATAAGCGCGGTTGGCTACGTACGGTGCGAGAGAAGTGCATTGGGCGAGTGATATGGGTTTGACTCAGATTCAATATTAGACGATTACCCGCTAAGAATGCCGCCTTTGCCCCCCCCCCTCAGTAGGGCTTTCCCCTCCTGTTTGTAGTGGGGAGCGGTGGCGGAGTGGTTAGCGCGCTGCGCTACAAACCCGGCGACCCAAGTTCAATTCCCGCTCATGGCCAACACCAGTGACGATTATTTGAACCGATCCTGGGCCGTCCCCTAGGTCGACTCAGCCTCAAATGAGTAACTGGTGTGATGTGTGGTAAACATCGGCACTGGGGAGACAAAGGCGGTCGGGCGTGGTGCTGGCCCACCCACCCCCACTCGTGTACTGTTCCGGCCTTCACAGGTGCTCGCGAACAGCACTTGCCCAAACAGTCTGCTAAGGCTACACGGAGGATCTTTGTCTTTGTTAGAATAGTCCGGCTGTCAGTCACGCGATGACATCAACAAAATGCTCGCGCTCCTTTGACTAAAATAACCCGGCTGACATTTAAAGGGACTCTGTAGGGCCGAGCGACGTCGTGCGGCGCGCGCGCTATTTGGCATCGCCATCTCGAGGGGGCGCAACACTGCGGCTGGACTCGTAACAAACAACAACAACAACAAGATAAGTTCAACCGCTCTAATGCATTGGCGCAGTCGGATTGCTCTGGCAGTGCACGACTACCCGTGTTTTAATTGTCATACCACCCACCCGTTGTGCGTTTTTATTCATTTATTTGATAAATATTGTGTGTTATCGACGTCACGTTGCGGATGAGACAGAGATAACACTAGTCAACAACATTTTTTTTTCTGGCCTGGATTTTTGCAGCTGTTTTAGACTAATTTCAGGGTGCTGATTCCAAATCTGATCTCAGATTTGCTCTATCACATCTCATTTTTATGCTATCGGCATACCCCATTTTCATTGATTTTACCCGAAATTAACTGTGTCACTTATGATTGCAAGTTGTTGCGAGTCAGTGACTGCTTTAGTGTTAAAATATGGTACTGTATTTTAGAATAGTGTGTTTATAACATCATTTTATGTAGATATCCACATTTATTAAATATTTTTCTTCTGCAGTTTTTATTGAAAATGCTATATTTGATATCTCAAAAACCTGATGTGATAGATAACAACTGATGCCAGATTTGGAATCAGCACCCCAAAATTACATTAAAACCGTTGGAATACCTTATGCCAGAAAAAATGTGTTGACCAGAGTAATCCATTCGGATCCCTCGCGGAGCAGCCCGTGGAAGCGGACATCATAGAGCTGCCTCGGAGTTCACTTTAAGCGACCCTCCTCTGGTCCGTCCACGTGGCTTGGAGGGGCAACACTCCCTTCCCATCTCTCTGCACACGCGAGAAATGCTCCTCGCACGATAATCAAATCGACATACGGTATTCATTGTCAGAGGTCGAATTTAGACAACGTGAGTGCAGAAACGAGGTGGTTTTTTAGGTCACGTTTGCCCGAATCCATCATGCTCAGGATCTCAGCAATGCCAGTCCAGCGCTCTGATCGCCTGGCCAAGGATTTACTCCTCCCAATTCTCCCCCGTACAAAAAAAATCACCGATCCGCATTGGCCAGCGTGGTGAAGTATGGTCAGACGACTCTTCATGGCCGACGCGACTAGTGGATGCCTTCATCCAATAACAGATATTTTGATCACACAACAGGTCATATTGCCATGACGTTCTATATAAACTAAATTTATAATAACATTCAATTAATCTTAACTTGGAAAGCCCCGATGAGCCGAAAGACTGTGTTTCAGGAGAATCCTGCCACATTGGGATGTTTGAGTCACATCCATGAATGAGAGTTTTGACTTCTTGCGGGACGAATCCCCGAGGTGTCCGGAGAGAACCCAGCAAGCACCGCGCTGCATACGATGGGGTGTCACTCATCACTGAGAGAACCCAGCAAGCACCGCGCTGCATACGATGGGGTGACACTCATCACTGCCATCAGACCTCCTGGCCTCACTTCACAGCACCCCCCTAGCCTGGCAAGCCTCGACCTCTCCATGCATCCTCGTACTGACCGGGTTTTTAAAATAATACTTCGCTTACGAGGTCTCACCACGTCGGACATTCGGGGTGTAATCCCCGATCCTGTCGATGACTGCTGCCCACACGTGCCACTCGATGTGTCATGTGCACACGTGCCACACAACGTGTCCGTGCCCACGTGTTCCTCGGCTTACGACAGTTAACGATAGCACGTTCGAATTGGTTCCGAACACAAGGCGCGTTGCAATTAACGTCAGCCGATGAGTCATTGCACTGCAATATTGCTCTCAGATTATTGCACTCACGACGCATTAACAGCGGTGTTCGTACGTGGCGGCATATCATACCGTACAGCGCAGCCCCACTGGCGATTGAAGACCCAAGAGCCATCCCCATAGACTCCCTGCTAAATTCTTGTAATCGAGTCAAAAGATACAATCACACGAAGGGCATCGCGAGCTTTGCTCACGCATGCGGGCGGAGCGAGATC